TCTGAAAGTTGACAGCTATGGAACCATCAGCAGCTCACCTTAAACCATGGGTAGGCAAACCAAGGCCTGGGGGCCAGATCCGGCCCAATTGCCTTCTAAATCTGGCCCACGGACGGTCCGGGAATCAGCATGTTTTTACATGAGTAGAATGTGTCCTTTTATTTAAAATGCATCTCTGGGTTATTTGTGGGGCATAGGAATTTGTTCGTCCATCCCCCCCAATATAGTCCGGCCCCCCCACAAGGTCAGAGGGACAGTGGACCTGCCCCCTGCTGAAAAAGTTTGCTGACCCCTGCAAACTCTCAAAAGTTCCTTTGATGCTATGTCCTTAACTGCCCCGCACCTGATGTCTCACATGATGTCAGTTGTGGTCTGGGGGAAATGATATAATGTGGCAAACTGGGACCCTTTACTTAGGCCTACAGGTCAGAGGTTTCCCCCCCCCCCCACAGGGTACTTGATAATGTGATGTTACCTTTGTAGTCCCTGACTGGCTGTTGTCAATTCAGGAGGAAGTTCCTAATGTTCGCTTTTTTTTTTTAATGTCTTAGAAACTCTAAGTTTGGGAAGAAACAGTTGTGAGCAGGCATTTAACTGTGAATGAAGAAAGTAAAGATGGTGTATGCATTGAAAAACTTTTACTTCTGAAAGCCCCCTTTTTCTCACCCAGATTTTCGCAAGTAAATAATTGGTACATCTCTTAGTCTGTCTCTCTCTCCTTCCTCTACTCTGTGCCCTACTGAGTTTCCTATATTTGGGGCTCATCTGTCTTCTTGATTGGAGGTGCCATTCTCTAAAGTAATTTGATTGAATAAATGCATTTTAAACCTTGGAAAAATGCATTAAAGGGTCCTTTGGTATCCCATATCCTTTCCCTGTAGCTTGCCAAATGTTCAGCTTCTTTGCTTTGTTTTTGGACAATATAAATGATCAATGCGTTTGACATTTATCCCTTTGCCAAAGGATGGGCACTGAGAGCTCCAGTGAAAATCATAAGGTAGGGGCAGTTCCTGTAAGTGCAGGGCTGTGAAACTGGGCTCACTTTTGTTCCGTTAGCCAGGCAGAATATTTGCGGCCAGCTGGTCATTTCCACCCATTCATCAGAAGCATGGATCACAGTTTAGCAAACCAGAACTCAACTGGCTTTAGAATAAGTTTGTGATGACAGTTCAAATTGCCTTCTGTACTCATGAATAACAGTTCAGACAACCAGCTCGTGATGAATAGATTTCTGTGTACGCTCAGAAAAAAAGCAACATAATCAACAGCGTGCAGTACTGTTGTGAACAGTCCCTTTACGGAATATAAAAGGTCTATGATCCACCCAGTTTACATTGTTTCATGTGATACAGCCCGTAGTGGGAAGAATTACACAACTGAGTCTGTGGTTGCCAAGGATCCAGGGCCCAATATCTGGGATACCCGCTTGCCCACTGGACACCATGAAGGGAAGGAGAGCAGGCAGGGAAACACTACGGGCAGGCAGAAAAGAACCTTGTTCAGGAAATAGGACAACTCCTAGGACACAAAACATTAAGTCCTTCTGGCCCTAAGCAGAGACTGGTTCATATTGCACCAGTAGCAGCAGAAATGGATTCCGTTATCTGCCCCACCTGCAATAAAACATGTGTCCCCCATATCAGACTCTACAGCCACAGCAGGCACTGTAACTCTAGTGGTTTGACTTGCTGAAGGCACACTCCTCCATTGTTTCTTGAGACAGGTGGATACCAAAAACTTTACACTGGAGAGGGCAAAGGGGGACTTCCGTCATTGGCCCTGCTGCTGTAAAAATGTTACCTCAGCCATCATTCCTCTTCAGTTACTTGGATTTTCTTCTAGAAAACTCTTCTTTTCCTCCTTGGGTTGATCTGGAGAACAATCCAGCTAACTGCAGGTTCCAGCTCCTCCTGCCTTTTAAGTCTTCAGTCGTATCTCTGCATGTTGCAAGGTAAAGGTAAAGGGACCCCTGACCATTAGGTCCAGTCGTGACCGACTCTGGGGTTGCGGCGCTCATCTCGTTTTATTGGCCAAGGGAGCCGGCGTACAGCTTCCGGGTCATGTGTCCAGCATGACTAAGCTGCTTCTGGCGAACCAGAGCAGCTCACAGAAACGCCGTTTACCTTCCCGCCGGAGCAGTACCTATTTATCTACTTGCACTTTGACATGCTTTCAAACTGCTAGGTTGGCATGAGCAGGGACCGAGCAACGGGAGCTCACCCCGTCACGGGGATTCGAACTGCTGACCTTCTGATCGGCAAATCCTAGGCTCTGTGGTTTAACCCACATGCTGTATCTTAAGCCAAACAGCTTCCCTCTTCAGTTTTTAAAAGGCAGGTGCAGAAACAATTATTATAAAGGAGCTTTCCTGTTCCTTTACAGTCCATCACTTGTCTTTGCTACTGTCAAGTTGTTCGGTGTATAATTACGCTTAAAACATTCTTTGGTATTAGCTGAAATTCTCGGCACTATTTGATGCTCACTTTTCAATTTGACTTCCTCAAGTATTTTTGATTGCCTCTGGGCCTTGTAGTCATTTGCATAATCCTCGGGTTTCCAGATCCTCTGTGCTCTTTAAGACTGACATTTTATTGTTTTGTTTTTTCCCCTTTCTCCCTTGATATAGTTCCCCACCTCCTTCGTATTCTCCTATTGACTTCTCTTCCATTGTGAAGAATACTGTGGGCATTTTATTGGGACAAGGAGAGACTGTAATAGCTTCCTTTACTGTGCATGGCTTTTAGACTGTGTTTATTTCATATCAATTTTCTGAGCCACGCTTATTTTTTTGTGGGGGGGGGGAGGAGGATAAAGGACAGCTTATTTAAAAGCCCATTTGTCGGAGGCGTATTGCCTTTGAAAACGTTTGCACGACTGTCTTATTAGGCATTCCTAATTCCATGGTAGCCTCTATAGGAACATTGTTGCTCTTTAATAATTCACCGGGATGTCAGCAGAAAATATATATCAGTGATTACATTAAAAAGCTATTTTATCACCTTCAGTTGTTTAGTACCGTAGAGGCCAGCTGTCGTTGGTGATTTTTCTTTATTCTTAAGGTTTCACTCTGGCAACTTTCCATGGGCCGTCATTGGATGGGCAGATCGGTTTAGTTAACAGCTAGAAATAAATTCAGTTATTTAACACAGTTGTGCGCTCCACGTCGCTCAAAAGCGGAGGTGAGGTTGTTTAACAGAAATCGAAGACAAAGATAAGAAAATTAAAGGGCTGCTGGATCAGGCCAAGGATTCATCTAGTCCAGGATCTTGTTCTCACATTAGCCATCCAGATGCTTTTGGGAAAACTGCAACAGTGCTCTCCCCATTTGCATTCCCCAGCAGCTGGTATTGAAAGCAGGGTTGCCACCTGTCCTGTATGGTACAGGGTTGTCCCATAGGTAAAGGTAAAGGGAACCCTGACCATTAGGTCCAGTCGTGGCCGACTTTGGGGTTGCGGCGCTCATCTTGCTTTATTGGCCGAGGGAGCTGGCGTACAGCTTCCAGGTCATGTGGCCAGCATGAGTAAGCTGCTTCTGGTGAACCAGAGCAGTGCACGGAAACACTGTTTACCTTCCCGCCAGAGCGGTACCTATTTATCTACTTGCACTTTGACGTGCTTTGGAACTGCTAGGTTGGCAGGAGCAGGGATTGAGCAACGGGAGCTCACCCCGTCGCAGGGATTCGAACCGCCGACCTTCCGATCGGCAAGTCCTAGGCTCTGTGGTTTAACCCACAGTGCCACCCGCGTCAGTGTAAAATGCTACCTCCTGTATTGATAACAGTTTTGTTCTGTATTTCAGGTCTTCTCTCCCTCTCCCTCTCCCTCTCCCTCTCCAAATGCATGCGTTTGAAAGGGTGTGTGAAAAGTCATGCATTTAAGCTCTGGGTAGCCAAGCACACAGACAGATTTACAAGTGTGTGTGTGTGTGTGTGACAAATCCAGAGGGGCTATCCTGTTAGGCTACAATAGATTGTAATGGATTGCCCCACCTTGTCCTGTATTTTGCCAGAGCAAAGGTGGCAACCCTAACTGAAAGATATGCTGCCTCCAACAGGAGATGCAGAACATGACCATCATGGCTAGTAGCCACCAATAACTTTGTTCTGTGTCTAATCCTCTATATAAGCCGTCCAGGTTGGGGTCCATCACCGCATACTGTGGGAGCGAATTCTATACAGTGGTACCTCGGGTTACAGATGCTTCAGGTTACAGACTCCGCTAACCCAGAAATATTACCTCGGGTTAAGAACTTTACTTCAGGATGAGAACAGAAATCGTGCGGTGGCAGCAGGAGGCCCCATTAGCTAAAGTGGTGCTTCATGTTAAGAACAGTTTCAGGTTAAGAACAGACCTCCGGAAGGAATTAAGTTCTTAACCCGAGGTACCACTGTAGTTCAACTATGCAGTGCTTGGAAGAGTACTTCGCTTGCCCGATGCGAATTTTTCAACGTTCAGCTTTGTTGGATTTTCATGGGTTCTAATATTATGAGACCTTCCCCTATCCCTTTCCCTCTGCCATGCATAATTTTATACACCTGGGAAATGGAATGGAAAGTTTCTGTTGGAGGTCAAGATTAAGCCTCCTGAAATTCAGGAATTCTAGGATTAGGTCATTGTTCTATTTAAGTTAATCTACACTGGCTCATGTGGAGCGGAGGACATGGGAGGAGTGCTTTTTCAGAGCAGGAGCTATGATCTGCCAGGACACCAGGATAATGGGCAGACTTTCCCTTCTGTCGTGAGGCGACAACAAGGCTTTCCCATTTCACCATGGTTTGTGAAAGATTAATACAAAGGGAGTCGGAGAATGAGGGAGACAATCAAACCAAGGCTAGATACTTCTTTGCTTTTGTTTAAAATGGTTTGTACTTCATGCTGGCAGTTTAAATAGTCAATAAACACATGAGATGTAACTGGCTGTGTTCTTAGATTTGTAAGATATACTATTCATAGTATCAAATTGTAAATTTCAGCAAAGTCTAAGGTTGGGGGTCACTGTGGGTGGTGGTGCATGACCGTTCTTAGTTGGTGGAGCGATTTCTCTAGTTAATTCCAATAATGAATGAGACTCTGGCATGCTAACTAGTTATGCGACCCCTGAGCTTAGACTCTGTGAAAGGATTTTGTGAAACTGTAACAACCTTTCATGTGGATGGTTTGGACTTTATGAGCAGACAGGTGCAATGGACACCATTACACGGATGGACCTTATGCATGAACTCACTATAGAATGATCTGATCCACTGGGTGTTCTGCTTTGTTCATTTGTTGAACTTTATGAGTTACTTCTGTTGAAATTTACAATTTGATACTATGAATAGTATATCTTATTTATCTAAAAACACAGCCAGTTATGTCTCATGTGTTTATTGAGTATGCTTTACGTGACCATAGGCTTGTTTGTTGTGGCAGTTTAAATTGTGACATTGCTTTGCAACTGCTTCCAGCCCTGTCCTCTGTGGCCAATGGCCAGTGATAATGGGAGTTGTAGTGAGCACAGGGCCATATCTGTCTGCCTCTAGTAGATTGAGCTGTGATTCCTCTGAACATGGCAGGCTACATATATAGGTAAAGGGTAAAGGGACCCCTGACCATTAGGTCCAGTTGTGGCTGACTCTGGGGTTGCGGCGCTCATCTCACTTTACTGGCCGAGGGAGCCGGTGTACAGTTTTCGGGTCATATGGCCAGCATGACTAAGCTGCTTCTGGTGAACCAGAGAAGTGCACGGAAATGCCGTTTACCTTCCCGCCGGAGCGGTACCTATTTATCTACTTGCACTTTGACGGGCTTTCGAACTGCTAGGTTGGCAGGAGCAGGGACCGAGCAACGGGAGCTCACCCCGTCGCGGGGATTCGAATCGCCAACCTTCTGATCGGCAAATCCTAGGCTCTGTGGTTTAACCCACAGCACCACCCGTGTCCCTCATATATAGGGACCTGCCAAATTGTCCTGGGACTTTGAAAGAGCTGGATTTAGTCTTAGAGCATTGAACTGGGTTGCAAAAGGGAGGAGAGGAATGAACAGCAAAGACATGAAAACGACTGGATTTTATTTCATTTGCTTACTTGGAAGCTTATTTGTCTTTGCTTTTCTGCCTGAGTGCCTAATTAAATACTCCAGTATAACAGCGACATAAAGTTCCTGCATGCTCCTATCTGGGGCTGTTTCGCTTTGGCGTCTTTCCTTGCAATTTGTTCATCTCGGGATATGGTTATTACCCAGAGCTAACTGCTAGCCCCCACCACGCTATAATATTTACTGGTGTTGCAGCAGGCTGAGCACTATAGCTTAAGATCAGCAAACACTGGATAAAATCCAAGTGGTTCTAGGGATTGTTGAGCTGTTATTGCTGGCTACAGGAAAGTAACACTCTCTGATTTATTTTCATTTCTCGTTTGACCCAAGAGGCTAACTGCTTCTCTAAGATCGATGGACCAGAGTGGGCTGCTTGAGGATCTCTGATATCTGATGAACTGGAGCAAACAAAACAGATCTAGAGCGGCAACTGTGCTGTAATACACATCTTTGTAACTGATTCCCATAATGCTGGGGTAACATAAAACGCTTTCGTAGTCTCAACGGACGTTGGCTTGGCTGCAGTCTTAGGACTAAGTCTGCTGGTCCCTGTAGAGGAAGCATTAGAGGCCTATTTAGGCCCTTTCTCAACATTTTCAGGTATCATAGGAGTCTCTACAGCAGGGGTCACCAGCAAGGCACTCCCAGGCAGCACCGTCCCCTGCCAGTACCTCCTATGGTGCCAGCAAAAGGTCTTAGCAAATATCCCCTCAAAAATCCACAGTGCATGAGACGGTTTGGTTTTCCCGCTCAGTTCCTGTTTCCACTGGGTCAGCCTCTTCTGCCCCCTTCCTTAAACATGCTCACATTTCATTGGATTCCAGGAAAGGACACCCCCACCCTCCTTTCCATTCTGAAAGGGGAGAGGCACAAGAGCATGGTGGTGCCTGATGTACCTTACATACCCTTAAGGTCCACAAATGACAACATTTTGGAGGTCCCAGGTCGCAAGGTGGTTAGATTGGTCTCAGCTAGGGCCAGGGCCTTTTCAGTACTGGCCCCGACTTGGTGGAACGCTCTGTCACAAGACATTAGGGCCCTGCGGGACTTGACATCTTTCCGCAGGGCCTGCAAAACAGAGCTGTTCTGCCTGGCCTTTGGTTTGGACTCAGTCTGACCCTTATGTTGCCCTCCCCTTATGGTCTTAATTTATCGGACTACTTTTAAAATGAGGCTGCATTTTAAATTGCATTTTGACCTGTATTTTAAATTGTTTTTTTTCCCTTTTTCTTCCCCCTATTATGTTTTTACTGTGATTTGATTGGTGTTAGCCACCCTGAGCTCAGTTCTGGCCAGGGAGGGCAGGGTATAAATAATAATAATAATAATAATAATAATAATAATAATAATAATAATGTAAGTGCCCTAATTCCATTAGTGGAAGTGGCTGATGGGGCAGGGTGTGTGTGCAGGGGACAAGCCTGCATCATTTTGTGGTGGTCTCTCTTTTTCTGCTCTTTTTGTGCTATGTCACACCCCATGGAGCAGTCCATAGCACTTTCTGAAAATCCCGAATGTGTCCACTGGCTCCAAAATGTCTCCCAATTAATGGTAGGTAAAAAAAAGGTAAAGGACCCCTGGACAGTTAACTATGGGGTTGTGGCGCTCATCTCGCTTTCAGGCTGAGGGAGCCGGCGTTTGTCCACAGACAGCTTTCCGGGTCATGTGGCCAGCATGACTAAACCGCTTCTGGCGCAACGGAACACCATGACAGAAGCCAGAGTGCACAGAAACGCTGTTTACCTTCCTGCCCTATTTATCTACTTGCACTGGCATGCTTTCGAACAGCTAGGTTGGCAGGAGCTGGGACAGAGCAATGGGAGTTCACCCCGTCGCACTGATTCGAACTGCCAACCTTCTGATTGACAAGCCCAAGAGGCTCAGTGGTTTAGACCACAGTACCACCCCTGTCCCTAAATGGTAGGAGCCAATTAGGGTCATGTGGGAGGCTCCTTTCCACTCCAGCCCTGATTTCTGCTGGAACTGGGCTGACACTGATTGGATTGGAATTGAGTCACAATTTCTCCCAAAACATTTTTCTGATAAAATTTCATATATTTCTCTTTGTCTTGCTCCTCTGACCCCTAAGTAAAAGAAAGCTGTTTTGCAGAATTTTCTTTGAACGTGTGTGTCTGTGTATATTTATATATTTATAAACCTACAAATATTGTGGTAGCTACCATTCCCCCTCCCACAATGCCCTAGAATGATGCTAGGTCAAGGATGGATGCAAAAAAGTGGTCAGTGGGAATAAAACTCCCAGCCCGAGAAACTGTCGAATAATTTTTCATTGCACTGGAATTTCTCTGCCCGCAGATAGGGTTTAGTCTTTGAGAGACCATTTGCACACAGTTCCAGCTTGGAAAGAGCTACAGGTCTCATGTAGTATTGCAAGACACAGGAAGAAGCCACACTGTAGCAACTGCTATTTAAAGGAACATTGGAGGAGGTTTGGGGAAGAATTCATTTGGTCGACAATTTGCAGCATAGAAACACAGTCCAACATCCCTGAACCAGGTTGCAGATTCAAATGTGATTCCCATAAGCATTATGCCCTACTCCAGTGTCTGCTATGCAGATTTGGTGCATAAAATGTGCAAAAATATGATGTAAGAGATTGATACAAAATGGGTTTTTTTTAACTGGTGAATCCATTGGAAAAGGTGCACATTTTACTTAAGAAATGCACGCAAAATTTGTGCAAAATGTGTGCAACAGGATGGAATGGGACACCAGGAGCTTGCTGGATGGAATGAGATGCAATGGACTTAAGAGTGCATGAGATGCAAGACTAAAGCAGGATGGAATTTGCTGCTCACCCCATCCCTACTTTGGGTTTGTCTTAGTTCATCTGAGCTACTGGGAGTTTTGGAAATTCACGGGGAACTTTTTCAGAGAAAACTCATTGAAGCTGGCTACACCCTGTTTGCACTGCTCGAACTGAGCACTGTGACATTTCTTCTCGCCTAATAGATCACTGAAATGGAGATAAAGTAGCCATTCTGCTTGCAGTTTAGCACCATACGTGAGTTTACATTCAGTGGAGGTGCAAATGATACCATTTTGCCAGTGGTCTTGTGCTCAATTACTTTGACTTCATTTAGGGAACAAAATGACCTGGTTTTTCCACATACCTCATGGCGGCTTTTAAGAAGTAATGCATCGGGAATGCAAATGTCTGGTGTGTGTGTTTTCGTTGTGTAAAATTATCCTTTGGAGATCGTCATTAGGGATGATCTAGGACAGCCAAAGCTCTTTTACCTTCATCTCCTATGTTATCTGTGGAACTAACCCAGAACCCTGGATTTATTCCATAAGGGAATTCCAACCAACTCTGGCTCCTGATGCCATCAAAGTGTAGCGTAAGTAAATTGTGGCAAGGGTCATAGATAAGCAGGAGAGCATCTGCTTTGCATGCAGAAGACCTCAGGTTCAACCCCCAGCCTCTCCAGGTGGAGCTTTAAGAGACCCCTGTTGAAGCCCTGGAGAACCACTTCCAGTCAGTGGAGACAGTAAAAAGCTAAAGGACCCCTGGATGGTTAAGTGACTATGGGGTTGTGGCGCTCATCACACTTTCAGACCAAGGGAGCTGGGGTTTGTCCACAGACAACTTTCCGGGTCATGTGCTTCTTGCGCAATGGGACACTTTGATGGAAACCAGAGCGCACGGAAACACCATTTACCTTCCTGCCACAATGGTACCTATTTATCTACTTGCACTGGTGTGCTTTCAAACTGCTAGGTTGGCAGGAGCTGGGATGGAGCAACAGGAGCTCACCCCATCACAGGGATTCGAACTACCGTCCTTCTGATCAGCAATCCCAAGAGGCTTTAATGCCCCAAACATTAAAAAGGTAGAGGACCCCTGGACATTTAAATTATCGAGCTAGACAGACCAATAATGTAACTCTATACAAGGCATCTTCCTGCATTCCTATGACAGTCGACGGCATTCAGTGACAGGTTGTACAGCTTGCCTGCTCAAGCAACAATCTCCTCTCTGCCTCCAAGTGCCCGGCACTGGCAACCTTTTGGACTGTGTTGTTAGGGAGTCCACAACTGTCATTTATGGATACAGAATATGACTGATTCTTTTGAGCCAACGGGCTGGGGGCTGGGGGGGGGGCAGGGAAAGAAGTGTAACCCGGCGAAGTTCTCCAGCTGTGTTAAAAGATGTGGAGTTTCACCACCAGACCTCTGGAAATGGAGAGGGCAGGCCGTCGGCATCAAAGCATGCCTCCGCATGTCTACCGTCTTTTTCAGAAGCGAAATTAACAGCTCCCTAGATTGCTGGCTGTTTGGTTTAACAGTTGGGTCAGTCATCTTTTCCTTCTGACTTTTCATCAGGAAGCAAAAATACCGCGGTGCAACCTTTGCTTCGGGGCAGGACACACCGTTTATTACACTGGCTTTGTGGTATTGATCATTGTCTGAGAAGCACAGCATTTTTTCCCCTTTTATCTTTTTTTTGTATATATATAAAACAAAAACAAATACCTCTAAAACAGACTTGTCATTTGCTTCAGGAAACTCTGAGGAAATGCAAGTATACCTGGGAATGCAAGGCTTTCCGGAGGACTGTGCCTGTATCCCTATCAGCTGCAATGCATGGTGACCATTTGAATACTTGCATTATAACGAGAGGAGAAAAATCAGCTTGGAAATTAATTTCTGGTGGGCGGGGGAAGCTCTTTTTAGACCACAAGTGATTGTATTAAAACAAATCTGTTCCTGTTAGGCTTGAGAATGTTGGGTTGTCATGTTGCAACCTGGAAACTCCTCCTGTTCCTTTAAACTAGGGGTTGCCAATGTGTCACCCATGAGCACAATTGTACCCTAGTGCTCAGGAAGCCTCTGAGCATCCCTCCTCCCTGTCCCCTTATTCATGAGGTGGTGCAGATAGTTACCTTTTCCTCCAGTGCAAAGGATGTAGAGATGAAAGAGGATGTTGGAAGAGTGGTGCTCTTTCTTGCCATACCTTTCATCTCTATGTGTTTTTCAAGGGGTTGATTGATTTTTCTGGATTCAACTGTTACCCAAATCCTTTCGAAAAAGTGTGTGTGTGCACATGCACTTTTCCTCTTTCTGTCTGTTCTGTTTGGGGTGGAGGAAGAAACGTGTCCAAAGTGGGTGGCACCCAGAGCAGTTGAGCAAATATCCAAAGGAGCCCAAGGGCCTACAAGTGTTGGTGGGGGCTGCTTTAAACAATGTCCATCTGGATGTTGCAGAAAAGCCATTCCTCTCGATGCAGCGGATGTAACATTTAAAAGCTCTTGGCAGCAAATATCCCTGAGAGCAGGTAAAAAAAAAGGTAAAGGACTCCTGGACGGTTAAGTCCAGTCAAAGGCGACTATGGGCTTGCAACGCTCAACTCGCTTTCAGACCAAGGGAGCCGGTGTTTGTCCACAGACAGCTTTCTTGGTCATGTGGCCAGCATGACTAAACCACTTCTGGCACAACGGAACACCATGACGGAAACCAGAGTGCACAGAAATTCCCGCTGCAGTGGTACCTATTTATCTGCTTGCACTGACATGCTTTTAAGCTGCTAGGGTGGCAGAAGCTGAGACGGAGCAATGAGAGAGCAGTGTTGCGGAGATTTGAACCACCAATCTTCTGATCGGCAAGCTCAAGAGGCTCAGTGGTTTAGACCACAGTTCCACCCGCGTCTCAACCCCTGAGAGCAATGCATGTCAAGCCTAAAACCCAACTCAGGAATAGGAAAGGAAAAAAATTAATTTCAGACAGGAAGGGAAAGTGAACATTTTCATGATGGACTTATGTTTCTGTGGCTTGATATCAGTGACCTTTGCAACAACTAGGTACTGTATAATTATTTGCTAATATATTGGTTTAGGAGAATAATATACAATACAGTGGTACCTCAGGTTAAGTACTTAATTTGTTCCGGAGGTCCGTTCTTAACCTGAAACTGTTCTTAACCTGAAGCACCACTTATCTAATGGGGCCTCCTGCTGCTGCCGCCGTGCGATTTCTGTTCTCATCCTGAAGCAAAGTTCTTAACCCGAGGTACTATTTCTGGGTTAGCGGAGTCGGTAACCTGAAGCGTATGTCACCTGAAGCGTATGTAATCTGAGGTACCACTGTAATATACAAAACAGGGTGCTATCCAGAGGTGCTTCAAAAAGTCTCAGGACATAGGATCATGCCTACGGAATAAATCATATTCAGTTCACATTTAAGGCAAATCTTCCTAATCTGCTCTCCCTGAAATAATATGTGAAGTGACATTCAGCCATCCTTCTCTGAATTTTGCAATGCAGTTCATCAACCCAAATGCACAAAAATGCATCTACTAGGGGAAAGCATAAATATGAATGTGTCTATTAGTGAAGGTGACATATAAGTTGCATTGTATTGGTGGAAACGGCTTACTAAAATATGTGTTTTGCGCAAAATTGCATGTAAAAATAAGCTTATTAGGAGAATTTTGCTCTCTCTCTCTCTCCTGATATAAACTTTGGCAGGCTTTCTTAAATGGGTCATCCAGTTGTCTTCTTCTTCTTTGCATGGGTCTCATTTAATTATAGTTCTGTTCAAATGTCAATTTTTTAAAAAGTGCACTTCATTATACCTGTCACATAATTTGATCTCCTTTACCACCGAGGTGTAAAAATGTTGCTCTCCTTTTAGCCTTCAATAGGACAGTAAGATTGATTGGACCCTGGTGCACTGTGCCCAGTATGTGTGTCACTGAGGTCATCCTTTAATTTATTTGGACTGGAGTCAAAATGGATTTTGTAATATTCCAGTGCAGATATTGAAGGCATGACGAATGTATCTGAAGACCTTGTGTAGATGTCGCTGGTGATAAAATGGCAGATTTGGAAATGGACCCCACTTTCCATAATGGAAGAATTCCAGCACAAAATAATCCCTCCATTTATGGGTTGGGCTTCCCCATTTCTGAAATGCTCACAATCTGCATTTCTGTAAGCCACTCTCAGCATATTTCCCCCCAAAAGGCAGAGGTTTGTCACCATTTTAGCTTCATGGAGGATTTGCCAGTGCAAAGAAACCTTGTTGAAGTGCTGAAAGGCCAGAGATACTCTCCTGATACACAAAGTCTAGATTTCTTATTTCTGAAATGTACTTAGCCTCACGGGGAAAATAATTTTTGGCAAGTTGGTGTGGGGGAATTAAAATTTGAACAAATGTATCCAGCACTTTTTAGAATGGTTTGAATAAAAATGTATTAGGTTTTCCTCCACAAACAGCTTCTTCTGCTTTGTGAATTCTGTGGCCAGGCAATCAAATAAATAGTAGCAGGGCTGCAAAACTTATATACCCAGTTTTCTCAAAGCAAGCCCCTTTAAATAGGACTTACTTTTGGATACACATGTAGAGGATTGTGCTGTAAACAACAAGAACAGCAGCAAATGTTGTGCTAAGGTTCTAGATTGCAAGAATGTGGTGTTATTGTTCTTAAGAGCTGGGAGACTCCAGAATAGTATTTAGAATCCCATGTAGTCTAAAGTGGCACAGTCCATTCTACCACCCCGGGAATCTGAATTCCTACTTCATTCTGCTACATGCTTAAAGGTAAAGGTAAAGGGACCACTGACCGTTAGGTCCAGTCGTGGCCGACTCTGGGGTTGCAGCGCTCATCTCGCTTTATTGGCCGAGGGAGCTGGCGTACAGCTTCCGGGTCATGTGGCCAGCATGACTAAGCTGCTTCTGGCAAACCAGAGCAGCACACAGAAACGCCATTTACCTTCCCGCCAGTGTGGTACCTATTTATCTACTTGCACTTTGACGTGCTTTTGAACTGCTAGGTTGGCAGGAGCCGGGACCGAGCAACGGGAGCTCACCCCGTCGCAGGGATTCGAAGTGCCGACCTTCTGATCAGCAAGTCCTAGGCTCTGTGGTTTAACCCACAGTGCCACCCGCATCCCTTCGTCATGACATTTTGTTATCTATCTGTCTTGCAGGAAAGGGGAAATACAAGTGTGCACTGCAAATGGAATGAATTACAATATAGGTATGCTACATGTATTGCAAATATAAATCATTTCCAAAACTCTGACACAAAACAATAGAAATACGAGACTAGTAAAGCCAAGACAACGAAGCTCCCACAGTCATGAAAATCAAATGTGTTTGGCTCAACATACACTGTAACTCAAAGTGAACTGTGCAAAATGTTCCCACCGTAAGAAAACAAAACAATTCCTGGCTGGCTGGCTGGCTGGCTGGCTGGCTGGCTGGTTGATGTTGTCCTACAGGTTTAGGATTTGATCATTAAAATCGTCCACTGAAATGAATGGGGCAACTCCATCATTTCCCCTCCAGGCTTTAGCAGACCTCTCTGGCAACTAGCGCTGCAGTTGTTAAAACTTGACAATAATGAATTTGGATGGCCAATGGATCTGTGGTCAAAAAGGAACAATAATAATGTCCGAGGCAGACTATGACGAACTGCTTGTGAAAGATGGTACCCTTAGATAGATCATTAGTGATGACTGATGTTCCAGGAGGAGCTTACAAGCAATATAGCAAGGTGATATATCAGGTCACCATATGAAGCGCCTCTTAGCCTGCAAATTGCACTGCCAATCACTCTCTTCTGAAGGTCTTTCCTGCCACTAGTGAGGAAGACCTGATATAAGTCTCCATTCCCAGCCTGATGAATGATGATTGAACTTTTGCCTGTTTCAATCTAAAAAATTTGGAGGTGTTTAGAGCAATGGCATTCATCCTTATACCAGCCACAGAGGGAAAGCCTGTCGAAAACTTGGTGAGGCTGGGAGCTTACTACTCCAACGAGAAGCTGGATTCTTCTCAATGTCTGTTCTGAATTTTGTCTTTTGTGGAAATCTGCTGGTGAGAACAAAGTTCAATGCAGATTCTGTAACCCAGCCTGAAATGAATGCCATCTAGAGGCCTCCAGCATTGCTTCTGGTGAGGACCCAGTTGAAAAAACTAGGTTAACAGCACTCCACTACTGTGTACACAAAAGGGAGCCTGAGATCCCTTAGTCTTCCATGTGCTAGATAAACTTTCATCAATCTTTTTTGGCATGTTTGATTTTTTGAGCAATTGCTGTGGGCACCACCCCTGCTCATTTCCCTTCCCTCTCCCTTGAATCAGCCTCTCCCATTCCACAGGGACAGAAAGTGAGAAACCATGTGTGCACCCCATTTAGCTTTTCCAAGGGATCTAGGTTAGGGTTGCCATATTTCAATAAGGAAAAATCTGGACACAAAAGTTATTGAGGGGAAATAGCCCCCAAAGTCGTTGAGCTTTTTTGGGGGAAATCAGCCCCCAAAGGCAAAGAGTGATGCTAAAATACACATGTCCTGGTTCTGTTGGCCAAAGCATGCACATTTTGTGTGTGTGTGTGTGTGTGTGTATATGTGTGTGTGTGTGTGTGTGTGTGTGTGTGTGTGTGTATATATAAACTCCAGACGCTAATTTCGCCAGTTGAATTCCTGGACATGTCTAGGAAATTCCGGACATATGGAAACCCTACTCTGGGTAAAAGCTGGATCCACTAGAATCCATATGAGCCATGAAGAACACATAGAGCTGAAAGAGGAAGTGGGAAAGAGTGTCATGCTTACAAGTTCCTCCTTCAAATCTCTGTACTTTTCAAAGGAGAAAGGTAAACACATATACTAGGTAATCCATTAAAAGTACTAGCAATCCATTAAAGCATATATATATATAAACTCATGCGTTAGTGATAATGGCATACAAAAAAATGCATCAAAATAGGAAAAACTGCCTTGCAATTTTTTTTTATAATAGGCAAAAGTGCATAGAAAAAATGTGCATGTTATAAAAAAAGTTCACATTGAGATGCTGATGGAACTTGTACAAGAGAATAATAACAGCAAACTGATGCAGAAATGTGGACAACTGAATTTAAGAATGGAAAAATGAGAAACCGAAATTTGGAGAGCCAGTGTGGTGTAGTGGTTAAGAGCGATAGACTCATAATCTGGGGAACCGGGTTTGTGTCTCCGCTCCTCTACATGCAGCTGCTGGGTGACCGTGGGCCAGTCACACTTCTCTGAAGTCTCTCAGCCCCACTCACCTCACAGAGTGTTTGTTGTGGGGGAGGAAGGGAAAGGAGAATGTTAGCCGCTTTGAGACTCCTTCGGGTAGTGATAAAGCGGGATATCAAATCCAGACTCTTCTTCTTCTTCTGATATATTTGCCCATCCCTGGTGCAAAGCTAATCCTTCTGCTATGCAATCACAATGCTGTATCTCTGGAATAGGAGCCTGTTCTTAGAATGACTCCCACCTGCTCCCTGCACCTAAGCATCAGTTATTTGCCTTTGGCAAATTGTTATCAAAGTAAATGGTTACTAAGCATCCTTCCCCCTAACTAGCTTCTCTGCTGGGAATGCAAAAATGTTTATTTTAAGCTGTGAATGCAGTAAAACCAAGAAAAGGGCAGGGAGGTGCTGTGAGCAATCGTGCTTGGTGCTGGAAAGATTCTTCTTGAACCTTCGCTCAAAATATTTATGGCAAAACAGGGCTCTGAAGAGTAGTGGTAGAAAGGAGCCTTTTATCATAGAGTTGGAAGAGACCACAAGGGCCATCGAGTCCAACCCCCTGCCAAGCAGGAAACACCATCAGAGCACTCCTGACATATGGTTGTCAAGCCTCTGCTTAAAGACCTCCAAAGATGGAGACTCCACCACACTCCTTGGCAGCAAATTCCACTGTCGAACAGCTCTTACTGTCAGGAAGTTCTTCCTAATGTTTAGGTGGAATCTTCTTTCTTGTAGTTTGGCTCCATTGCTCCGTGTCCGCTTCTCTGGAGCAGCAGAAAACAACCTTTTTTATATATATATATAAAGCCATTTCCGACCTAGCGAGGAGAGGGGGTTGCGGGCGACCCCCTCCCACACTCGCGGGGCTGGTCTCTGCCACCGCGAGATCAGGGGGAATCCCCGGGCGTGCCTGCAACCCGACCCGCCAATCGGCGGGCCGGGGAGGCGTGGCCTAGCCTACTTAAGGCCAGGCACGCCCGGGGACCGCCCTCTTTCCCCCTCGCCAGCTGGAGCAGGTTTTCCCATCCCACCCACCCTTAGGTTTAGCTAGCCATGACCTTGCTATGGACCTCGGTTGGTCGCCGTAAGGGGCCTGGTAGGAATTTTTCCAATTTGGCTCTTTGGCGGCCTTTTGGTTTTTTCGCCTACCTCGTAGCAATCGTCACAACTTCATCAGTAATTGGCGGTTAGGCATTGGCAGGGGTTTATTGTTATGCAAATGAGTTGGGGGGGAAGGAAAAGCCATCACCTTCCCCCAGGAAAGGGTAGTCCGGTAAAGGACTCCGGGGCGTTGCCTTGTCCGAGAACCTACGGAGGTGAGGGCCCCGGCACGCCCCAGCGGTGACACCCGTGGGATCCTAGTTGGCGTGCTTCAACAGGACCCCACGGTTTGTGGTTAACCCTTCCCGGTCTCCATGCCGGGTAGTCGATAGGAGCCAATGCCTAAGGCCAATACCTTTCAATTCTGTATTCAATAAAGTTGTGGCCTGTTTAAGCCCATTAACCTTAATTAATGTGTCCTGTGTCGTTACTTTCATGGGGGAGGGGTCTAGCCACGCAAATGATATTTATTGGAATTTTTTTTTTTAGAGTTACAGAAGAAAACAAAGTAGAAAAAGAACAAAGAAAGAACAAAGAAAAACACAAACCACATCCAACAATACAAATTCAAAAAACAAAAAAACAAAAATACACCACAAACTTTTAAAAACAAATCCATTATTCTCAAATCCTCAACTGTCATTACCTTCTTTCTTTGACCTCCTCCTCCTCCCTTTTTTTATATCCTAGTTGTTAATTGTTGCAGCAAATCCTTTCCATATTTCATAAAATTCTGTCATTGCATTACCTTAAACTATTTTAATCTTATCTTACTATAAAAAACCTTGAAACTTAAAACTTAAATCTTATTTTTACCAACTTCTCATAACCATAATATTCTTACATAATTCTTTAAACATTTTTACTAAAGCCAAGTAATTTCATTCCAACATTTTTCTAACATTCATCAATTTTATAAAACAATCCTAGTAGTAGAAAAAGAAATAGAAACAATCCAATCTTCATCCAGCGTTCCTTCCTCCTGGTCCCGGGTTTTGTCAGTCCTTATTATCCCATCGATCTAGCGCATTAACCTGGTGCCCTTATATCCGAGGCCCTTAAGTCTCTTCCGCAGCTCTTCTTCATATTTGTAACTGTATTTTCCCTTGTCTCCTGCTCATTTCACTCGTGGGAACTCCAGCTTAACAATATTTTTGACCCTTTTCAACAGATCAGCCCCTTTTCCATAGTCCAAACTAAACTCCATGTGGTATTTAAAAACGTGTTTCAGAATCCCTCCAAAATTAAGAGCCCCCACAATCCCAGACATCTCACGGCCCATTGCCAGACTTGGAAAGTCCAAACATCCCTGCATAGGGGGGTCTATCCAGCCCCCCATTTCCAAACCAAACCAAACTTTTCCTTTCCAAATCTGGCTTTTCCAAGTTCATTTGTCAAATCCAAAGCTCATGTTCCTGTTGGGCCTGTTCTGTCAAGGCACACTCCTGATTTAATTCCTGGGTGGGCTCCACATATTTTCCCACTGCCTGTTCAAAATTTCCCACTGCCTGTTCAAAATTTCTAATTGAATCAGCCATCAAATTCGTCTTCTCATGTAGCTGTTCCAATAGGGCATTTGTTTTATAGAACGCACACAACAGAGCTTCTGAATACATTGTCCTGCAAGGTCAGATGTCTATTCCCACGGTTGTAATCTGTAACAGCTGCCAGCTCCCCGGAGTTGGTTACAGTTTCACAGTCTCCCTCTGGGGGGAAACTTCTATTTGTTCTTTCTTTTAAAGACAAGTCTAGCGACAAAGTTTCCTTTTTCAGATATTTTGTCAATATTTGTTCCTTTAAGAAACGAAGGGGAACAATGAAGTCAAAGTTTCTCTTCTTATAGCTATCTGTCAAAAACGTTGTCTCTGGTCAATGAGCTTCAAAAAACGTCAGTCCTAACACCCCGCTCCAGGATCAGGACGGTGGAAAGTTACTTTACTTTACCCTCACTTCTGCAGGTTTAAACAGTCCGAAAAAATCCCCCCTCTTCTCCTGCTTCCGAAGGAGGTTCAACAATTTTAAATGATGAAAGTTAATCTTTTACAGGCGATTTTCTGAGCTCTAGTTTGCCATGTCTTTGCTTTAATCTATCTACAAAGAAACGGAAGGCTGACTTCCTGTTTAGACCTTCCCGTTTCAGCGCCAAATTAAGGTAAACTTTTAAGTCCAATTTTCCTTTCTACTCACAAGTCCTTATTTAGAGTCCAATTGTCCAAGTTTAGGTACTCACGGGTGATTATTTTAGAAACCAGATTGTCCCAGGAAAAAGGCAGCGCTCTCCGGCAACGGCTGTGCGGTTTCGCTCCACGGAAGAAGCAGTTGACTCTCAGCACCTCGCCACTTCCCCCTCTTCGCTCCGGAGCCCGTTAATGGGTTCTTTTGCAGGTTGGGGGGGGCGCTAAGGGTGCCCGCCGAGTCCCATGGTCACAGGCTTCATCCGCCTGTGATTTTTGAATGGGTCCCTGCTTCGCCGTAGCGGAAAAGACCCGATTCCCGTGGAGCTGGTCCCTCCAGTTCAGAGGGAATCCGCCATTGCCGATGGCGCCACCCCGGAAGTCCTTTTATATATTTGAACATGGCTATCATATCACCCCTTAACCTCCTCTTCTCCAGGCTAAACATGCCCAGCTCCCTTAGCCGTTCCTCATAAGGCATCGTTTCAAGGCCTCTGACCATTTTGGTTGCCCTCCTCTGGACACGTTCCAGTTTGTCAGTGTCCTTCTTGAACTGTGGTGCCCAGAACTGGACACAGTACTCCAGGTGAGGTCTGACCAGAGCAGAATACAGTGGCACTATTACTTCCCTTGATCCAGATG